ACTCTTTCTCTCATTTAAAAAATGAATTTACCATGGTTTTATCTTTGAATTTTTTTTTGAACTAATTTTTATTTTTATTGAAGTAATACATAGTTTAAAAAGTGAATTAGACTATGACTTGGTAATTGTTGAAGATGGGTGAGTGTTATATGGGAGCTCATAATATTCTCTGTGTTCATGTAATATGTACTTGAAAAAATTTTAAGTTTTTAAAAGTTAAGGTTGTAGCAAATACAGTAATTTTCTGCTTCACGTCTTCCAATCCCAAATTTTGCTGAAAATGGCAAGCACTGTAAATTCTTTTTGCTGTTTCTCGTCAGACCCTCCATCTTTTAAAATGATCACACTTATTTCTTGATTTTTCTTTCATAGGCATTCTCAATCTATTTCTTACTAGAGAGGAAGAAAATTTAACTCTTACACCAGCCCTTTTCACATGCTTATTTCCCTCCATCCCCGTAAAAGAGTTATAGTTTGTTAATAGTCAATGTTTACATCATTGTGGTGATAAATGTCCCTCACAGCTAAGGCACATGGTATACTAGGATTCTAACATTTTGTTTTTCCTGGAGTTATAATAGCCTTTTTTCCCTGTTTGATTAGTTTTCTATTTTCCTCCTTCTGATTATTCCCAGAATTTTTAGCAACAATGCAAAATTCTTCTCCAGATTGTTGAACACGTCAGATTACTTGTCAGCTTCAATCAGTTCTCATATTTTTCTTGTAGACCCTCTTCCTGGAGCCTCTGTTCTGCTGCTCCAGTGTAGACCAGTTGCACAGCGGTAGTCCTAGGGCATCCCCTCACTATCATCCTGGGAGTGCCTTCCACTTCTCTGGGTCACAGCCCCTGCTTCTTGCACTCATGTCATCTTCTTTCCTGGTTAACTCTTTTGTTCCGATGGAGTGCGTCTTCCAGTAGCTTCCTGAGAGAGGGTGCATGGGAGATACATTCATTGGCTAGGGCTGCTTTAACCAATTACCACAAACTGGGTGGCTTTAAACAACAGAAATTTATTCTCTCACAGTCCTCGAGACGAGAATTCTGAAATTAAGGTGTCAGCAGGGCCACTTTCTCTCTGTGACCCTGGGTAGAATCCTTCCCGCCTCTTCCTACTTCTAGTGGTGACCACTGATGCTTGATGTTCCTTGGTTTGTAGCTACATTGCTCTAATCTCTGTCTCTGTTGTCACATGGTGCTCTGTGTTTGTGTGTGTGTGTGTGTGTGTGTGTGTGTGTGTGTGTGTGTGTGTGTGTGTGTGTGTGTGTGTGTGTGTGTGTGTGTGTGTCTGTGTCCAAACTTCTCTCTTCATATAAGGACACCACTCATATCAGATTTAGGGCCTCCCCTACTCCAGTATGATCTTATTTTAACTAATTTTATCTGCAATGACCCCATTCCCAAATAAGGTCACATTTTGAGGTACCAGGGGTTAGGACTTCATATCTTTTTGACAGACACAATTCAACCTATAACAGGATGTAAACATTTTGAAACCCTGAATGTTTAAACTTTTTTTTTTTTGATGTGGACCGTTTTTAAAGTCTTTATGGAATTTGTTAAGATATTGCTTCTGTTTTATATTTTGGTTTTTTGGCCGCGAGGTATATGAGATCTTAGCTCCCCAACCAGGGATGGAACCTGCAACCCCCTGCATTGGAAGGCAAACTCCTAACTACTGGACCTCCAGGGAAGTCCCTAAACTGTCTTTATTTGATTTGGCTGAATAGAGAATTCTAGGCTGGAAATTATTTTCCCTTGGGATTTTGGAAGATATTGCTCCACTGTTGATTTGAATCAGTTGAGAGGTCTGGTGCTATCTGTGATCCATCATCTTTTGTCTATGACCCTTTTCTCACTCTCTGGAAGCTTCTAGGAGCTTTTCTTTATTCCTAGTGTCTTTAAATCTTATGATGATGAGCCTTGGTGTGAATCTCTTTTCATTCACCGTACTGAGCACTTAGGCCCTTTCCATTTGGAGACACACCATTTGGGTCTTGGTAATTTTCTTGTACAGTTTCTTTGGTAATTTCCTTCCTTCTGTGTTCTGGATTTCCTGTTGCTCAGATGTTTTCCTCAGAAACTAAGCCTTTAATTTTCTTTCTTTTCTCTCCTTTGTTCTATCTCTTTGTCCTTTTGCTCTGTTGTGAGGGCTGATTTCCTCAACATCATCTGCCAGCACCTCTACTGTTGTTTTAATTTTAGCTAGCTTATATTCCCAAGAGCTCATTTTTTCTTCCTGAAAGTTCTTTTCTTAGAGTGTCCTGCTCCATGAATACGTTATATTCTCTTCTCTGAAAGCATAAATTATAGAATTGGGGGGCTTTGGTCTGTTCTCCCTGAGTTTCTTTTTCCTTTTTATTTCTGAGGTTCCTGTTAGTGGCTTTTCCCACATGCCAGGCAAGACTCGGATATGTGCTTTTGTTTAAGAGTCGGTCACTTGGAACTTGTTTGGAAGGATGCTCTATGTGTGTGGGGGTGGTGCTCTTTTTTAAAAAAATTATTTTATTGAAGTGTAGTTGATTTACAGTGTTGTGTTAATTTCTGCTGTACAGCAAAGTGATTCAGTTATACATATATATGCATTTTTTCGTATTCTTTTCCATTATGGTTTATCACAGGATATTGAATAGTTCCCTGTGCTATACAGTAGGACCTTGCTGTTTATCCATCCTATATACAATAGTTTGCATCTGCTAGTCCCAAACTCCCAATCCATCCCTCCCTCACCTCCCACCCCCTTGGCAACCACAAGTCTGTTCTCTATGTCTGTGAGTCTGTTTCTGTTTCATAGATAAGTTCAATTGTATCATTTTTTTAGATTCCACATATAAGTGATATCATATGGTATTTGTCTTTCTCTTTCTGACTTACTTCACTTAGTATGATAATCTCTGGGTCCATCCATGTTGCTGTAAATGGCATTATTTCATTCTTTTTATGGCTGAGTAGTATTCTGTCATATATATGTATGTGTGGACGTGCTCTTGTTGACTGGTGGGCTTCCCTGTTGCGTGGTTGGGTGGGGTCCTGGCTCTCCCTGAGGACCTGGGGCCCATATCTGTGGACCTTTTTTTTTTTTTTTTTTTTTTTTGTTTTTTTCTTTTTACACATTACCTAGCAACCTTCATAAAGACGAGACGTACAATTTCCATACAGTTCCCGTTTTTGATTCATACCCTCAAGGAACAGACGGCACACGAGTTATATTCCCTTATTGTTTTAAAATACTACACCTTAGAGTCTTATTCTCAAAAAGGGAATTTCTCTACATTATAAGATCTAAATGCAAAGCGACACTAGGCCACACCCGCCCTAACACCCTGGGGTCAATGAATCTCTGTCGCAGGTGCTGGCGCAGGTTTGACCCTGACCTCTTTTTTTTTTTTTTTTTTTTTTTTCAGTTATTCTGTTCTTCTGTGGAGCAATCTTCCCATCTCCTGTGGAGCAATCTTCCCATCTCCTGTGGGACTGGTACCTCAGGGCAGGGCATTGGGCTGCTCTCTATTCAGTGTCTCCCTATTCTCAACTTGGCAGCTCACCCACTGCCCTAACTGTGTTGGATCCCCCTGCATCCTGGCCTGTCCGCCTCAGTTTCCCCACATAGTGAATCTCCCATCTCCAGCAGGAGGTGGGGGAGGGTTTCTTCCCTTTGACAGACTCCACTGCCTCTCATTTAGGGCTCAGCTCAATGGTTATGTGTTTATGGGAGCCTTCACTGACCTGCCTGACCTTAGTCTAACTCCCTCTTTCTTTTCCTTCCTAGCACTGAGCATTTTCTACTTAGGTAGGTCTCATTGTATGTTTATTTGTTCGAGATCTCTCCCCCATCCCCTTACCACCCCCAAACTGCAAGTTCCATGAGGGCAGTGACTATGCCTCCTTGTTCACTGCCAAGTCCCAAGTGTCTCAAGCAATATTTACTGAATTAGTCCTTGAATGATTGGGAGTATTTATTACAAAATATGAGAGGGGTCCAGCAACCTGGTTTTAGTTCATCATGGAAGGGCAAAAGTTTATGCAAAATGTCAACTTTTTGATGATGGTGATGATTGGTCTTTACTCTTCTGAATGGGTGCTTCCTCTGTCCCAAGACCCAGTGATCAGTACTGTTGTACCCATTTTACAGATGACGGAAGCACGGGTTCGAAGAGGTCACACAGCTTGGAAGAGTAAAGGCCATGTTCTTGATCACCACACCCCAGTGCCCCCTCTCCAACTGTCCCAGCATTTCTTTTGTCTAATATGTCATGAAAAAATTTCAAACATACAGAAAAGTGCAAAGAGTTGTGCAGTGAACACCAACATACTCTCAACCTAGATTCTACCATTAACATTTTACTCCACCTGCCTTCTTACACATCTGCCCACTTATCCATCCATCTTATTTGTTGGTGCAGGTCAAATTAAGTTGTAAACTTCAGTACAATTTCACCCCTACACATTTCAGTATTATATCATTAGCTAGAGCGAATTGCACACATCTCCAGGGTACCATTTGATGAGTTTCGACAGGTGCACAGACCCGTGAAACCCAAGCGCCTGCCAAAATTCAGAACGTTACCATCATTCCAGAAAGTTCCCTCATGCTCCGTCCCAGTCATTCCAAGTTTTGAGATATGCCTATAGTGACCGTGATGAGACTATGGGAGCCTCTAGCTCGCTGCCTGCGCTCCCTTCTTCAAAGCTCCCCTCTTGCCGGGGATGCCATTTCTTCCTCTCTGCCTCTCTCAGGAGCCTTGAACCTGGATAGTCCATGGCTGATGGTCTCGGCGGCTCACAGGCTGTACTGGCCCCACCGAGCCACGATCCAGGCTGTTTTGGAGCTGACGCTGGGCAAGGCCTGGACCCTCAAGAATCTGGTGATGAACATGGCCTGCAAGAGCCAGGGCCTCCACAGGGAGGGCAAGATCTACGTCTACACCCCAGCTACCACCTACCTCCAGGTGCGCATGCTCGGCCACACTGCCTGCCCCTCACTCCCACCCCCGCAGACAGGGAGCCTGATTTCCTGCAGTTTAGATCTTCTGTGCAGAGGGTTAAAACCGAGGTCCGGGGTCGATAACAGGTCGCAGATGTGTGACATCTGGCTCACACACTGTTAACATTCTTCAGAATTTGTTGCCAAGTGAGTTTGGGAGAGGGAAACGAAATAAATCTCAATTTCCCATATTCTTGCTTAGCAGCTGATAAAGTAAAATATTAAAGTAGTTTGAACTGGTACCTCGGAAACAGGTAGACATCAGGCTTTTGCTTAAACCCAGAATGGAAACTTCAAGGATGTAGGTCAGTTTCCCGCCACCTGCTCAGTGTAAGTCTGCTTCTTTGCACACGTTTGATCGTTTGGCCGTAGAAGCATAACAGAGTTTGGAAGAAAAGCAACCAGAGAAGGACTTCCCTGGTGTCACACATGGGAACCTGGCACATCAAGCCTCTCCCTGTGTTGGGGTGATGAGCGGACACAGGGTGTGGTCCAGGCCTGACGTGGGCCCAGAAGGAGGCAGCTCGGTGGGCATTGCTAGGGGACAGCTCAGTCCCCTCTGAGGCAGGGGCCAGGTGGCACCAGAGTGGAGTCGGAAGGAGCAGGTGACTCCTGGCAAGCTTAGGGACCCTGAGGAGGCCACTGTGTGACAGACAGACCCAGGACAGGATACAGGGTGGGGTTGACCAGCCCATTTCTTCAGATGACCCAGCCCTGGGAGGGGCAGGTGGTGGCCTGGTGGTTTGAAGGTGTAGCTGACTGATTTGCTGACAGATTTGCTGATGGATTGGTTGGGGGAGGGGGTGAAGAAAAGACAAGTAACCCCAAGTTTTTGGTTCAAGCAGCTGGGTAGAAGCAGGTGCCATTTGCTGAAATGGGGAAGCCAGCAGTGAAGGGCCTGCAGGTTCTGGGGGTGACCTGAGGTCGGTGACATAGGGGGTAAGGTCTTGGGGAGTTCTAGTATTTGTCAGGAGGTTCAGTAATTCCCAAAGCCCATCTTGGCCCTGTCACCTCTCCTCGTGAGCCCCCCGAGGGAGCTGCGTGAACAAGGGACAGAGGCCAGCCGGGCACGAGGCACCTTGATGTTCCTAGTAGGGCTTGTGCCGAGGGCGGTGTGCTGGGGTACACAGCCCAGCACAGGGCTGAAGTGCTGTGCCTCCCCCAGCCCCAGTGCAAGCCAAAGTAACACCCAGCTCCTCCCAGGGCTCTGAACACCATGACGATGATGCAGGGACAGAAATCCACCTGCAAGCGTGTGCCCTTCAAGACACAGAGACCCTGCCTGCTAATAACAGTGGCTCAGTAGATCCTGTTCCCTCCTTGAGCTGAAGGGGAGAGAGGGGAAGGGATGGTCTTCTCTGATAACTCAGATTCTCTCTCTGTTCGGGGTTGAGAGGGAGAGAGCAGTTTTTCCTCTTTCCTCATGACCCTGTACGGAACAACCAATTCTGCTTGGACCCATCGGGAAAGGCCTAGCAGAGATGGCACTGGAGGGGTTTTGAAGGATGAGTGGGAGTTCACCAAGTGGGACTGGGGAGCAAGGGCATCCCAGGTGCAAAGACACTGGTCAGCCTCTTCATCCTCACTGCAGGTTTCCACAGTGACAGCCGTGGCACAGAGCATCTTTCGCAGCTGGAGTAAAGTAGAATCAGCCTGGAGTGCAGCAATGCAGGGTGAGATCCATGCCGAGAACAGCCAGGACCGTAAGATCCTTCACGGCTGGTTGAAGGGCCCCCAGCAGGAGTTGAATTTAACGGTGGCTTACAGGCATACAGAGCAGGTAAGGGGTCCAGGCGGCCTGTGCTGGAGGTTCTGCCATCAAGAGACCCCAAATCCATCACCTGGGATGGGAAAGGGCTACTAGCTTGGCCTATGACCTTGGGCCTCCCTGAGCCTCAGTTTCTTTATCTGTAAAATGGGCCCCAGCTATGTTAGCACAGACCTCAGAGCAAAGGTCAGCCACCTGGAGCTGGAAGCCCAAGTCCTTCGTTCCTGCTGGGCACCTGGGGAGGTCTGGCCATGGCAGTGTCCCTGTGCCACCTCGTGGTCTGATGAGGTGGAGGCAGCAGCCCTTCTCGGGTGGTCCGGTCAGTGGGAGCTGTCCCTGGTGACCCCCAGGGCAGGACGTTTAGCAGCTTGGACCCTGCGGGCATCCCTCTGCATCAGCCTGGTCCTCGTTGCAGCCATGGAAGAACCACGTGTTGCTGATGGCTCTGGGGGCCAGTGCCGAGGGCCAGCCTCAGGGCCTGCAGCTGGAGGGCGAACTGGAGGAGCTAATGCAAGACAGGAGGTTGTACCAGAAGCAGGGGACTTTCTTCCTTAGGTATGTTTGGCCCCTTCCCCCAGGCCGATTCCCCTGAGGTGTGGTGCCGGCCTGGGTCTCCCCTTCTCCAGCATGGAGGGTCACCAGGGAGCAGGGTGTGCAGTGCTGCCACAGGGGCCCAGACAGAACCCAGAGCTCAGAGTGAGTTGCCCCCCCCCCGAAAGCCCCCATATCCCTCACCCCTTTCCGTTAGTGTGCTACGGTGGGCACAGAAATCAGTCTCATCACCCCAGCCTGAAAGCTGCTCTGGGGAACCATTTCAGTTCTTGGAGGCACAGCGGTTAAAAAGCTTGTTCTTTGTGGGAGGCGAACAGCACAGGGTTGGAGTCAACAGCCTGAAGTCCAGGCTGTGCACTGACCAGCTGAGGGACCTTAGCCATCTACTGTCAAAACAACAGCAATAACCCAAAAGTAACAGCAACTGTCATTTGCGAAGGTCTCATTCATTTCTTTATTTCATTTATATTTATTGAGTACCTAGTACGTGCCAAGCACTTTCCTGGGCCTGTGGAGAACAGCAGAGAATAAAAAAGACAGAAATCCTTGCCCCTAGGGCATCTGCATTCGTGGCACATACATTATCCCTAATAACTCCACTGCTGTGTGAGTTGGGTATTATTATTTTAGCCCCCACTTGACAGATGGGAAGACTGAGGTACAGAGAAGTCAATCAAGTCCTTTGCTGCCCAAGGTCACAGAGCTAGTGAAAGGCTGAGCCTGGATTCCAGCCCCAGTCTGTGTGACTCCAGACCCCATGTGCTGCCTGGACCCTGGGTCTCTGCTGCCAAGTGGTGACCCCAGCTGTGTCCAGCTCACTGGGTTGTCGAGAGGGCACAGCGGGATGGTGAATGGGTGTTGATTGGCAAATGTAACGCACAGGGCTGATGTGTGTCCTGATGTTCTTCTCCTGTCTGACAAAGTCTTAACTCTGCAAGACAGTGACAGGCCCAGTCTGAGCCCCTGGGCCACAGTTGTCCCCTGACCCTGCCAGCTACTTTAATGACTTCAGCCTGTTTCCCCCTCTCCACACCAGGCACCCGTGGACTCTGCCCATCCCGCAAAGCATCCTCCTGCAGGAGACCTTCACGGCAGACAGGCAGCACCAGCGTTACTCCCTGGAGACGAGGGTTGTTCTGGATGGCCAGGAGGAGACCCTGCAGACCGTAGTCCTGGGCTACCAGGCTGGGCACCCATATGTGAGTGGGCTCCAGGGTGCAGTGGGAAGGGGCCTGAGAGCGGGAGGGAGGGCCCCATCTGCCTCTGACGTGTGTGTGTGTGTGTGTGTGTGTGTGTGTGTGTGTGTGTGTGTGTGTGTGTGTGTGTGGTTCACCCATACAACAGCAAGGCCATCCCCAGGAGCTTGGAGGGGTGCGTGGTTGCGTGGAACCGGCACATCGTAAGTGAGGATCCCAGAGACCTTTTCACCCCAGCGGTCTGCAGTTCAAGCTGTCATCTTCTCTTGGCTGGATGAACAAAACATTCCCCTGCCTTGAGTTTTCTGTTCCACTTTCTCTGCCTGATCCAACCTACTTGACATTAGTCTTCCTAGGAGTGAAACTCATTTTGCCTCTGTGTCCTTAGCAAATTATCTCATGTCTCTGGACCTCAGTTTCCTCGTCTGTACAATGGAGACAGCAACACTCTTACACAGTGGTTGTGAGGATCAAAGTGTAGTACAGTGATCTCTCTTGAGTACTTACGACATGGCCATAGGCCCTCATCCAAGTCTCCTTCCTGACCCCTCTAGGAGTAGCATCTCTGGGAGGTGCCTCCATTCTCCAGCAAGCATTTATTGGCACCTACTGTGTGCTGGGCCCTGGACAAGGAAGATAGTGGTGGTTTCTCCCTTGTGGGATATCCAAAGGCCTGAGGGTGAAACCGGGCCAGCTGTTGAGCATGGAGACCTGTGCTTCTGGGACCTCACTTCCCCGCTTGTTAAAGTGGGCTGTAAGCAGCCCCCAGGTTTGGGAGCTGAAGTTCTTGGAGCTCCTGAGGGGAAACAGCAGGCAGGATGGCCACCCAGAACACCTGCAGAAATGTTTCCCAGTGATGTGTACTGTTTTCTAAACCAGACATTGCAAAATGGTGACATGGGCCGAATCCAAGCTGCAGATGTGTTTTGTTTGGCCTGGTCAGAATTTAAATTAAAAAAATAATAAATTATCAACATTTAAAATCAGAAGACTGGGAGTAAAACCCGGATCTCTGCTTCTAATTTAAAAAAATCGGAAGATCTGACCCACCCGCCAACAACAGGCTAGAACCAAGTAGATGGGGATCCTTTAATGTAGTTTAATTTGGCTGTCCATTCTTTTTAAAACCCTGCCTTTGTTTAATGACACACATTTTTCTCTTCTCTTGGACCTTTGTTTATTCTCCCTCCACCCAGGCTCTAAAATAAAGCTGTGTATTCTTTTAAAGATGTACACCGATGATAAAATTCTGTGGCAAGAAACTTAACTTTTCAGCACAGGTGGGAAAAGGTGGCAACCTGCTACTTGTACGTTGCGTGGGCAGAAGCTAAGTGGTTGTTGAGTGAATAAGTGATTAGCTATGTGTATGTGTTTTCTATTGCTACTATAACAAATTACCACAAACTTAGCGGCTTAAAACAACACAAATATATCTTACATTTCTGGAGATCTGAAATCCAAAATGGGTTTCACTTGGCTAAAATCAAGGTGTTGCCAGGATTGCATTCTTTCTAGAGGCTCCAGGGGAGAATCTGTTTCCTTGCCTTTTCTAGCTTCTAAAAGCCACCCATGTTTCTTGGTTCATGGTCCATTTTGCTAAAAGCCAGCAGAGTAGCATCTTCCACTCTCTCTGACTGTGACCCTCCTGCCTCCCTCTTATAAAAACCCTTGTGATGGGAATTCCCTAGTAGTCCAGTGGTTAAGCCTCCATGCTTCCACTGCAGGGGACACGGGTGCAACCCCTGGTCGGGGAATTAAGATCCGGCATGCCACGTGGCATGGCCAAAAAAAAAAAAAACCCAAAACAAACAAACAAAAAAACCCTTGTGATTAGCCCACTGGATAATCCAGAATAATCTCCCCATCTCAAGATCCTTAACCGAAGTCCCTTTTTCCCTTTAAGGTTACAAATTCACAGGTTCCAGGGTTGAGGACATGGATATCTTTGGGAGGGCTGATATTATTCTGCCTGCCACACTGTGAGTTAAACATGCTTCCACTTAGCATGGCCTTTGGCTTTGGGGTTTCAGGCTACAACTACAACTAGTGATTCTGCGTTCTTCTAGATATTTATTGAGCACCTACTATATGCCAGGTCCTGTGCTGAGTGTTAGGAATATAGCAGTGAATAGAACAGACTGATACCAGGGCACTCCCTGTGAATGAGACACAGGCCCTCAAGCCCACCGCACTAATCCTACCTGTGGGCTCTGGAGTTTACCATACCTGTTCAAAGACTCCATGTGTACCTGCCCTGCACTTTCTCTCCTGTGAGCAGGACAGTGTAGACTGTGCTTTCACCCATCAATCTTGGGAACCACTTTAACTGCTGGGTTCCAAGGGTGGCCTCTGCGGGCACTCAGCGATGGGAAGTCCCCTCTCTCAGGGCCGTTGGTCCTTGTACACCCAGGCTAAGAACAAGGACGTCGAGGTCACTCTGAAAGTCAACCAGAAAGTCTTGCTGCACTTGAAGGGTCTGCACCATGACCGATCTCGGCGTGGGGAAGTCTGGCACAGCCTGGCCCTGGATGTGGCTCACTCCTCCCAGATACCCATCCCCGCATCGGGCAAATGCTGGTTGGTGGCCTCCAGGCAGAACTTGACTGTTGGTGAGAGTAAAGGGTACTGTCGGTTCCTTCCTAGCTGAGGTTCCCCCAGGCCCTGAGTTTGGATGGGGACATTGTCTTCAGGCGGAGTCACCAGGGAGCATTTGACTGCGGTGTGGATGCACGGGCTGCCATCAACCACAATGTCATGTCCCAGGTCAGAAGACTGAGTTCTGCCTCCTTGCTGAGGGAGGAGGGGATTTAATGTTAGCAAGCAGGTGTCCTGTATGGGACAGCACAGGAGGTGGCAGGGTGGCCCTGGCAAACTGACAACACAGCCCTTATTTTGGCAGTGTGCATGTGATGAATCAGGATGCACTATTGTAATAAAAGTTTGCTTTACTGTGAAAGTTTATTCCCCAGTCATGTCACAGTTCAGTGTGGCTCTGCTCCACAGTCAATCGGGGACCCAGGCTCCCTCCACCTTGTGGCTCTGCCCAGCTGGTGGATAGTGAGAAAGAGGGTGAGAATTATGCAGGAGGTTTTCATTGGCCAGGCCCATATGTAGTCCATGGCACTCCTGCCCACAGTCCATTGGCCAGAACTCATCACATGACCCCACCCAGCTGCAAGGGAGGCTGGGAAATGTAATTTTAGCCGTGTGTCCTGGAGGAAAAGGAAATACATTTTGGTAAATACATAGCAGCCACTGTAGGTATATTCATTAATTCACCATATACAGATTGTGTCTTTGCTGTGTGCCAGGCTCTGTGTGATGTACCAGGGCTGCACAGATGACCGTGTTTCTGTTCCCATCTCCAAGGAACTTTCAAGTTCAAATCCCAGCTCCACTGCTGACTTGCTGTGTCACCTTGGGTAAATTACTTAACCCCTCTGAGCATCAGTTTTTCCATCCGTGAAATGAGAATAGTAATACCAGCATATAAGAGCAGGGGTGATGATTAAATAAGACGATAATTGTAAAGCCAGCTTCCCAGTGCCTAGTTCATGGCCAGGGTCAAATAAATGGCAGCCGTGGACATGGGAGGCATGAGCAGGCACCATGGCAGGGGAAGGAGGGGGTGCAGGGTCCCAGAGCTGTACTCCCAGCCCCGTGTCTTGGGCCTCACTTCTCAAGCTTCCGAGTAATGCAGCCTCAGTGAGATTTAGGCTGAGAACCATCCAGGGAGGGTGGTGGCTTTTGGCATCTGCCGTGGGGCCCGGGTTTGGGGCAGACTCTGGGATGACCTGTCCCTCCTCCACGCCAGCAAGCCACCTTCTGGGATTCTGCATCTCATTCTTCTGCTCCCTCTGACCATGCTTCTCCAACTCCCCCTCCCAACAAGTCTCAGTCCAGCTGAACGGGTCTGACTCCCACTTGGTGTTTTCCCTCCAGCTCAGACATCCTCACAGACCAACATTTCCTCCAAACTTACAGGTATGGATGGTGCTCCCTTTGGGATGACCTCAACTACCTGCCAAGTGTTGTCTCCAAGCAGCCAGCTTGCCGGGAGATGGGGTGGAAGGAAAGGAGGATGGAGACCCCGGGGAGGGAGCAGAGGGAGGGCCACATCACGATGTTAAGCTTAGCCAGACAGCCCCTCCAGAATCAAGAACAGATGGCAGGGAGGTTTCCAAATCCATCATTTGGAAGTGATTGTCCAGGCAAGAAGGGTTTTCAGTTCCCTGGCAGGGTGTGTGTGTGTGTGTGTGTGTGTGTGTGTGTGTGTGTGTGTGTGTGTGTGTGTGTGTGTGTGTGTGTGTGTGAGAGAAAGGATCACATTTCACCCTTGAAAATGGAGAGAAGCAGAATTGTCCTCAAACCCTGTCCTGTAGCTGGATTGGGGGGAAGCTGTATGATCCTTCAGAATGGCTTTTTCAACCCCAGAGTATTTTGCCCAGTGTGGGGTAGAAACACTAAAGGGTTTCACTCTACAAGGAAAGGAAGGGGCAGAGAAAGGAGACGAGGTGGGAAGGTTGTGCTCTGCTCTTCCAGGGCTGGCTCCTTAGAAAGCCCCCCACGTCGGTTGCTTCCCTAAGGAAGCCGTGTGTGCTGTGTATGCAGGAATTAGGCCGTGGGCTGGGGAGATGGAGGTGTGGATGGGTAATCCCAACAGGGATGAGGACTGGAATTCGATAGCAATTTTTTTTTTTTTTTTTGCGGTATGCGGGCCTCTCACTGCTGTGGCCTCTCCCGTTGCGGAGCACAGGCTCCGGACGCACAGGCTCAGTGGCCATGGCTCACGGGCCTAGCCGCTCTGCAGCATGTGGGATCTTCCCGGACCGGGGCACGAACCCGTGTCCCCTGCACCGGCAGGCGGACTCTTAACCACTGCGCCACCAGGGAAGCCCTCGATAGCAATTTTTAAATGCCTGCTGTGCCTGTGGGTTTTGAAAACTTGAGTGGAGCCTGAGAAGGGCTCTGAATTATGGAAACTGATCATTCTCAGAGGCACGTTTTTTCACATGTCGGCATCTGTGAAATCAGATGTGTCTTCAAATCCACGCTGGTTCATTGTTTCATTAGCAGCCTTTTCACTTTCAAGGAGATATATAAAATCATGGCACATCTGAGGGCAGCTGGCATCTAGGATTTGAAACTGTGCCGTCACTGTCATCAGTTGTAATGGGAGCTGATGTCCATTGAGTGTTTACTGTGTGCCAGGCTCTGTTCTAAACCCTTTATGTGGATCATCTCACGGATGCCTCGTGGTGCTGCTGTCTCGGCATT